TATTCATAAAAAACAATACCCCTACGCTAGATTTACCACTCCTGTTTTTCCTCCTAAAGACCAAGTCAGGTAATTCACGGCTCTGAAATTCACCTACTGGACCACTTTAGGTTTGGTTTTCAAACCTTGACTTCCTGTTGCCAGAGAAAAAGCTATTAAAAAACAAACAAACAGCAAAGTTCGGTCACATCTGAACATAAAAGTCATACAGTATAAAATCAGTTCCTCGGAGTTCTCTTTCTTAATTGCCCCACAAAGATACAGATTGTGTTTGGACACAAATAACTGTAAATCATCAGGGCGGTAGAGTTTGTCCTTTGGAGGGGTTTATAAACCCACGGCCTTATGGGAACAGACTTCAGCAGACAATGATGGAATTGACAATGGGGCACACAAAAGGCCACCCTTGGGAGAACCTGCGTGTCCCTCGGCATGCTGGGAGAAAGAGAGTAACAGGAACAGATGTTGTTGAGTAACAGATGCCTTCTGGCCAGAGTTCAGCCACAACCAGCCAGACCTTCAAAGGAGCAGCAGTAAAAGGAAAAAAAAAAACGATTATCTATGGGCCTTCAAGAAACAACAGCTTTTGCATTGTCTTCCTTTCTGATAAATTTGTTGGGATTTTTGAGAAATGGGCAACACAAGAGAGAACCTAAGAGGACTTTTGTGCACAGTGAGGAATACAAAGACACTACAGCACTCAATCAGCAGCCTGAGAAATTCAATGTTTTCATATTTAGCTTCAGCTATGTAAAACTCACAGAGCAAGAGTGATAAAGCCTTATAAAAAAGAAACAATTTAAACTAAAAACACGTTTTTAAACTGAGCAACCACAGTGATACACCAGTGTCTTTCTGAAGACATACTTATTATTATTTTATCCCCTGCTGAATATGTAAATTTGCCCACTTCCAAAGACATGAAAAGTCTCTAACTTTTATGACAGTTTCATTTTAATGGAGAGAGACAGAATATCGACCACAACCCCCCAAAACGCATTACATAAAAGCTTTAAATTGATTTTCTATAAACTGACGTCTTGAGATTGGCAGCTCCATAGTCTTAATGTGATTCTTCTTTAGCCACTCCTTTGTTGCTTTGGGTCATTGTTATGGTTGAAGACTCATCCACAACCCACCTTCAGTGTTCTGACTGAGAGAAGGAGCTTCTCATCCAAGACCTTATGGCACATGGCCCCATCCATTGGCTCTTTGATACTGTGAAGTCATCCTGTGTCCTTAGCAGAAAAATAGCCCCACTTCTTCCAGTTTCATGCTTAATGGTGGGGATGGTGTTTTTTTTTTGGATCATACTCAGCATTCCTCTCCACCACAAACACAGCTGGTCCAGTTAACACTAAAGAGCATGATCTTGGTTTTAGTGGACCAGAACACTTTCTCCCAAGTCTTCTCTGAATCATTTACGTTTTCACAGTCTTAAGACAGCCATGGTCACTTCTTGAGCAGCAGACCTTGTGAGTGCTGCAAGATTTAAATCTTTTATGGTGCAGTGTGTTACCAGTGGTGTTGTTAGACTGTGGTCCTGTTGTCAGATCACTAACAAGCCAAACCACGCCATGTGGTTTTGGGCTGATCCACCACCTTTGCCATGATCATTCTCACGTAGCATGGAACTGAAAGCAACTAACAGTCATTTTTTTCCTTCCCAAATCATTGCTTCAACAATTTTCACCTTCGCACAAAGCATGCTGACGCTCATTTAGCCCTGTACAGGTCTACAGTCTTGTCCCTGACATCATCTGACAGCTTTTTGGTCTTGCCCATGGTGGTGGACTGGAAGAAACTGACTCTGTAGACAGGTGTGTTTTATACACATAAAGAGCTGAAAACAGGGGTGCCTATAATTAATGGTTTAATTGCAATCCCTGCACACAGGCAATCTGTGGGACCCATTATTCCGGCTTGGTTGTAAGGAATCAAATACTTTTTTCACTCGATAACATGCAAATCAGTGAATATCTTTTCTGTAATGTGTTTTCTCCCCTAAATTTTTGGTTGATATTCAGTCTCTCTCCATTAAAATAAAATGACCTTAAGAATTAAAGACTTACAAAATTACAAACTCTGAAAACGAATCTCAGATTTGAGGACAAAAACCGATATGGCCATCAGTGAATGCACTGTTATTAGCTGATATACTTACATTTGATAAAAGGTTCACGGTTGCTTTATTTATACGCAAAGGTAAATTTGCTTTACAGAAAAATTATAGCAATTTGGCATCCCTTCACAACCTTTTTGTATCCCTAAAAACAGGCTTTTCACCTCATTTCCAGCGCTTCTGGAGTTGAGCTGTGCGACATAATGACAATAAATATATAGTTGTGATCAGAGGTTTATATACACACACCATGGGAATGAAAGTCATGGTAGTTTAAGATTTTTAATGATTTCTTAGAACTGTTGTTTTTCCTGAAATTACTGTACAGCACACATCTTTAATGACTTTAATAAAGAATAATTCAGTGCAGAAGTTTGAATTTATTTGGGATTCTCTCTAAAGGTAGGGTCAAAAGTATCCATACAAGCTCAAATATGTACAGACACCCCAACTAATATTTAGTAAAATGTCATTTCACTGAAAAGGATTCAACTGTATGAAGTTCTTTGAGTGCTCAGATAGAATAGAAAAGCACTAATAGAACAAGACCAGTTACCATTTGCCTGCTTCATTCATGTGTTTTTGTTCCTGTTGGAACACTCGGCTGTGGTGTTTCAAAGTTCATAAACACCAAATAAATACCAACTGATAAAACATAATCTGTCAAGTGTAACAGTTGTAGGATTTTTTTCATGCTATGAGGGTGGGTTTATTTAAGCAAAAGCACAATTCTATATTTTGCTTCCAACGAGTCAGACTTTCTTGCAGTTTTAAATTTGCGTTGAGCAGAAGTTCACTAGACCTTGTGGAGATCTTTCAAAATGTTCTTCTTTGGACATTGGCTGATTATGCACCTGATCATTTTTAGAGAACTGCATTTTTGCGTTATCTTATGGAACAAATTTGAAATATATTTATATTGAAATATATATGAAGGATGTCCCGACAGGGAAAATTGACTCTTCAGCCACTTCTGTTCAGCTCCGATAAAATCCATGCAGGGAGGGGTGGGACGTTGTTTTTTGATGGGTACACCATGTGGCCAATCACGAATCAAAGAAAGCAAGCGGTACAGGCCAAGTACACCGAGCGATAGAGAAACAAGGAGCCGGATTTAAGTCCAAGCATGTCGGGTGAAAGGGAAGAAATGAGCGAAAACAGAAAAGGAGCACCAACTGGCTCCATTTTAGTGATATTAGAAACTAAAGATGAGTGTAAATTTGTAAAATGAAAATATGCTTCAGAGCGGGGTCAACAAGAAGAAACTTGCACAGATGTTTAAGAACCATTCACCAGTCTGTGCAGCCTGAGGAGAGTTTACCCTCTCTCCTCCAGCTGCCATCCACTGGCCCTGGAAAAGTGTCCTGTTCGACTCTGCAGCATCCACCTTCTTTCAAAAAACTTCTGAAAAATCAAACCAAGACATGTACATTTATTCCAAAACAAATGACCCCAGACAAACGTGTTGACGAGGAGCTGGCTGACATGACGTTTAGTTATTTACTTGTTAAGGACAAAAGATTTCAAAGTTTTGTCCAGGGCTTAAGCTCCATGTATTCTTCGAAGCAGCAGTAAGTGCATAAAAATACATCACAATGAATAAAGCAAGCAAGCAATTCACAGTTGCTAAATTAGGCTAAAACTGAAGATACAGAGTGATACTCAATGAAGAGCCAGGACACCATCGTCCCATTCCACCATCGAGGGGGGTCACACAAAATACCAAGAGATAACTGTGCTTTCACAATAATGGCCTCTAATGATCTCAGCACCTGAATGTACAATGTCCGATCAGGGACAGTTTATAAATATATTAAATATATGTCTTTATATATTCTTTAACGTTAATAGTTTATCACAAACTGATTTTTAATTTCACATGATTGTTGGGTTTTTCTCTGTATCTATGAAGCGCCTTGAGGTGACTTTTGTTGTGATTTGGCGCTATATAAATAAAATTGAATTGAATTAATTGGAGATTTGAATGGAAGAAGAGTTTTGCATCTACGGGTTGTATGATTTACACTGTGTGATGAGCAGTGCTGGATGGGTAAAAATACCAACATCAAACGGCAGCTTTGATGCCTCGTGTTTCAAAGAGAACTGAGGGCGTGTGCAAAATAAGAATTGTATATCTATATTTGCCCACAAGACATGCGCAGATACAAACACGCATTTAGGGTTAAAAAAAAGAAGGAGTTAAAAAAAAGTTATTTTTAAGAAATTGAGATCCACAAAGAGCAGCTGGCCCAGAGCCATAGAAGACTTTTTATTTGGAGAAAGAAATCTTTGAAATCACTCATTTTTAAAATTCAATTAATTCATCGAGTACGACATCTAAGTTCTCAGAAAAAGTTAAAATCATGCCTTTAGTCTTTTTATACATAAAAGATGTAGTTTTACAATGACAAGTAACTTTTTTTTTTATAAAATGACTTTTTCTTCTTCTGACATATTTAGCTTCTGTTAAAGAAATAATGTAGAAAAAACAATTATCATCCCTCTCAATAAAACGAAAGTACAGAAAACAAAAAAGGCATAACACAGTACGATACAATGCGCTGACATGGCTTCAAAGCACACATAATACAGTACTGTACAAGGGTCCGCCTCAGACAAAATGCACCAAAACCACTTTCACTGCTGAGGATTGATCAAACCTCAGAAACAGCTCAATACTGCTTATTTACCAAACCCAGACCACAGCGTGGTGTTGGCATCTATCAAATGAGGTAAAGATTTCCAAAAAAGCACCAATGTTTTGGCGTTAACATTTATACACACTAATATATATATATATATATATATATATATATATATATATATATATATATATATATATATATATATATATATATATATATATATATATATATATATATATAGCTTATAACCAACAGGCAGTTGGAGGAGTTTCAGTCCAGCATCTCTTCTTCTATCCACAACACTGGAGAAACTATGTACTGAGTCTGCAAATTCACTTGCAATGTTCAGAAGCCAATGAACACATGCTGCCAGGACTGTTCTGTGTAAATAAGCAGTCGTTTTACACATTTATGTGGGACATTTCATGTCAATATTTATAGTGAAGCCTAGGCAGAAAGGATCCAAATCTGTATCTTTCCTGGATTCACTTTTTTAAAAGACGTCTACATTAAAGAGATTTTTTTAAATGTCAAATTATCTAATCACTTGCAAAGTTCTCAAGCTCAAAATGTCTCACTTTTGAGAGGTTCACTTATAAAATCATGTCAATTAGAAGGCTCTTACAAAGCTTAAGTAAACTACTGAATATCATATAATGCTTCAGCTAACAAACATTGAGGAAAATGAGCAAAAAGCAGGAACACATAAGGTCTTTTTATGTACCTTTAAGGTACTGAAAAAGAAAACAAAAACAATCTCGGGCCAAATATTTTAGGGGACAGCAACATTAGGTCTAAGTAACATGATGTGCAAACTTAACTGTGCATAGAGATCAAATCCTAATAAATATTAATGTGATAATTAATATTATCACTAGTTCGACTTGGTCAAAACTTGAAGGGGTGATTGTACAGTTTTATGATTAATTTAGTCTTACTAAAACATCAAAAGTTGTTTGTTTTTTTTTGTTTTTTTTTTATAGTGCTGTAAGAAAAGCTTTTATTTTTTTAAGCAACAAACACTTCCCATTTATTATCAACCAGAGCCCCAAAAGACAAACAAAACCAAACACTTAATAAAAATCCTGATAATGGTCACTGATTTGTCATTGATATTCATCCAAGTTTAACTTCCTCTGAATGGCTCTTTCGCTTTTAGGTTGTTTTTTTTCTGCCTTATTTTTGCATCAAAGAATCACATGAGCGACAAATAACAAACTGAGCGTTATAGTGATGTACAGGAATTTTACACATAAGTACTTTAGCAAGCTTTTAAAAAGTATATGGATCTATCTTAGCTTTAGTTTTCACTGTTTCTTCGTTTGATGTAGCTTAAAAGATGTGAAGCATAATGCCTGTCTTTGGACCACCGAGGTAATTGTAGGTGTGTGTGTGTGTGTGCGTGTCTGTGTGTAAAACATGCTGAAATGTTTAGCAAACATTTCAAATGAGTAACTAGTGTCCCTCTGAGCCATCGGGGGCTCGTTCTGGTTCGAGGTATATGATCCTGGTGCCGACCGGTGGCGCCTGTGGAAAATGTTACAAAGCGGTCTGATGGATGATGGTGAATTTCATTCACACTGCTGTGCATCATACAACCCGCCTCTTCCTCCCTCCCCCATTCCCTGCTGTATTCTCACTCTTCTCGGACTATTTTCCTTCTTCCTCGATTCATTCATCAGCACGCTTCTTTGTCATCAAAGGTTGCTCCTGAATAGTGCCGGGCTCCATTCACATTCAATTCAATTAACTCAGTAAGTGTATTCTTTTTTTTCAAGTTTAAATACGCAAAACTCAAAACCGGGTGAAAAAAAGAGGCGCTGAGGGTGTTTTGAAAGTAAAAGGCAAGCAAAATGTTTTGCTAAAGAGAATGCGCCCATGTGTACGTTACTCCTGAGAACTGATGTGAGAACCATAAACTTCAGCTGCTGAACAACACGTAATCAACACTTAATTCTTTATATTTAAATCAACATCAGTGCTCTTAAATTGTTTAAATTATTATTTTTTCTATTATTGTCCAACTTGATCTAAAGTAATGCACTAAACCAAACCATAAATGTAGAAGTTACAGGTAAAAAATTATTCTATATAAAACTATATAGAAAGTCAGTGTTGGCTTTGATGAAAAAAAAAACAAAACAAAAACATTACCACCACAAAAGGTAGTTAAACAGTAGAGAAAGAAGTGATAATTCTCTGAATATTGCTTGCAAATAACTTTAACTGTTCCTTGCAAGAACTGTTATACATGCTAGCATAGCTAAATGTGGCTAATGCTATCATTAGCTTTTAATATTAAACAATAGCTAATAGCTAAAAATAGCTAATGGAATTGTGAAAACTTTTAAATGATCATTTAAAACAAATAAGAAAAAAAGACGAAACTGAGACTGTATTTATCTGTTAGCTTCTATGCTAAAGTGCTAGCTAAACCTCTACTAGCCGTCTGCATTGGGTTAGCTTCTCCTACTCTGTGCTCACATGTAGCACATTCACTGTTTTCTAACAATTTACTACTCAAATTTTCCCTTTTCTGTAATATTGACTTTATAGTGACACATTTAAATACTAAATTAAAAAAAAAACCCTCAAGCACTTTTCCAATCTGCTGCTTCAAAGATTCTACGTATAGAATCATCCTCATTGGACAACCACATTGGGTTATGGTTACATGCTTATGTTTTGGTAATTTGCATGAACTGACACAAACTTCATTTAAATGAATTGAAAGTGAATGAAACCTGGTAAACTCACCGACCGACCTATCCTTCCCTGTTTCCCTAACTTGCATCTCCTTAAAACTCCAAATGTTAGTCCACTCCCACCCTCACCTCCACTTAGAAAAAAAAAAAGAAACGCTACAACTTTCCTTAGCCTCACCCACTCCCAAACCCTGCTCAGTTTTCCTAACCTCTTTGGTGACTCTCTGGTCTTTTCAAAACAGGGCTCCTACACAAGTCTCAGTTATTACACAAAAGAAGAAACATGGCTATTCAACAAGGCATGATTATCGTGACATTGCTCTATAAGCTTATGGTTAGTCCTCACAGGAACTGATGTGACAACACGAATTACAGCTACGACTAGGTCAAACAGGTTTCTAGAAAATGACTTTTTTTCCAGCCAGATTTTCCCATAATATCTGTGCTATTCAAAAATACCCGTAAGAGTACTTTTTTTTTTTTTCTTAAAAGGCGTTCCAGTCCTGTGTAGGAGCCCTGACTGAAAATGGTATTAAGCTAAAATGGCGCTCTTTCCATCAGAACAAAAGATCAACAAGGCTGTTAGGAGCAAATTGTTGATTCAAGGAATGGGATCATAACCCCCCCCCCCCCCCCCCCTTCCTTCCCCCCTCTCTCTAGGTGGAGGAAGCTCCGTGGCTCTGCATGTTGGCCATACTGCCAACCATGCCAGCCGCGCCAGCCATACCTGAGTGCCCTCCCATAGCTGGAGGGCTGTGCTTGGTAGGTGAGGTCATGTCGGCTCCACGCCCCTGGCCTTGACCTGGGGTCTGCGGGGCGTGGTGGGCGTGCTGCAGGGCATGGCGCTCCAGCAAGGTACGGTGAGTAAAGGCCCGGTGGCACACGTTGCACTGGAAGGTGCGCTCGGCACGGTGGGTGCGCATGTGCACATTTAGCGAGCTTTTCTGGGTGAAACGCTTGCCGCACATGGTGCACTGGAAGGCCCTGACACCAGTGTGCACCACCATGTGTTTGAGGAGGTAGTCCCGCAGGGAGAAGGAGCGCCAGCAGATGGAGCACTGATGAGGTTTCTGACCTGTGGAGCCAGGCATGTGCAGAAGCACGCTTATAAAACCATCCCCAAGAACAGTCTTGCCAATACAAGTGAATCATTTTCTGTTTGCCTTTTGTTCATATAAAAATACTTATTTTACAGTTCTTTTAATACGATACAAAGAATTCTGGGATAGAAACATGTCTATTCATTCGAGAGATTATCCTGAAATACAAGTCTCTACCTTTATGCTGACCTCAATGGCAGGTGATAATGAGGTGAATGCTGGAATACTGCATACGTAACTATGCAATTAATCTTTGTCCTCTTCACACTTGTGTAACATACATGCAGCTGATCAATTACTGTGACATGAACGTACCGGAGTGGATGAACATGTGCTTGCTGTAGTTCTTCCTGGAACGTAAAGATTTGCCACAGTGCGTGCAGTCGAACGAGGTCTCAGATCCCTGGGAGGAAGGTGAGGGCCCTGCGGAGCAGGAAGAGGTGGAGGGTGGCGGAGCTGGGGTCATCGGTGCTGGGGGTGGAGCCTGCTGACTGGGCTCTGTCCCCGCCATGGTGTCAATCCCACCCATGGGCCCGCCCACATAGAACGGAGCTGGCTGCGACTGGCTCACTGGGTACTGGAACAGAAGCTGTGAAGGAACATGATACAGACAATTTGCTCTGGATGAACATTTCCGAACACAATCGATAATATTTAGAACTAATTAACTACATATACCCCTAATAAAAACAATAGCTGGTGCATTTCAGTAATGACCACCATCCTACCAAGTGTGGCAGGACAAAAGCAGATCTAAACAAAATAACAGCAGGTTTTACACACGTGCTTCTCTCTGGACACCGTGCACGAGAGAGGAATAGTCAGCTGAAACAGAATCAGTGTTGATTTGCCCAGCAGAACTCAGGTAAAGCACAGGATCTGACTACTATCTAACCCACAAAAAGGTTAGATAGTGTGAATGCGCATTTTTTTCTTATTTGTTTATTTCTCCTTTTTAAAACCTCTGTAAGTCACGTTTGCACGACTCATTTGAAACTACTCCTCCCCAGATATTGCACCTTGGAAGCTCCACTCCTATACACATATGCAATAAATCCATCTTCAAAAATATCCGTGTCCACGCCTTCCAGCCACAAAACACACCATGCCTCTTTGGAAAACACACAGTCATTTCTTAAATGCCTAAAGAGAGCGTTGTGCTAGCACAGACCATCAGTAAATATGGTACAAATCGTTTGACAGGTGTGCGTTTCCATTTGCCAATTTAAGGAGCTGACATGTGACTGAACCCATCATCATCAGAATTTTGAGAAGGCCTGATTTGAGCATATATATGTAGAAATGGTATGTTACAGTCTGGTATGTTATGCTGTTTCATTTTCTTTTTTACTTTTTTTGTTGCATTCTTGAAAAAAATAATAAAAAAATCATTGTCTATGCAGGCCATTTCTGCATTTTCATTTTCAAAGTCAGCACACCCGTCAATCAAAGTGTGTAGGCTGAAGCTTGAAAAAGATATACAGCCCATCACACTAAATTGAAGCTTTTATTTGTGTTTCTGTTGTTCTGTGTTGGTTGAGTATGTGTGTGTGTTTTTTCTTAGTGCTGCATTGCGTTAAAATGTACTCTCCGTCAATCATCTCACTTCCTGCCTCAATGCAAACATCATTTAATAAGATTAGTGCTTCACATTTAAGGCGCTTCAATTTTCACAATTCAATTATTTTGTAACTTTTGCAATTGCAATCATGTATTTATATATGAAATGTGGAGGAGCAATTATTATTTTCATTAACAATTAAGTTGCTCATTATTTCCTCATTTAACTGCATAATTGTTTACTCAGAAAACGGTGAACAGATTCATTCTAGGTTTGCACTCATTTTGTTTTTAGTTCTAACATACATACAAAAGGTGTTTCATTAGAATCAAGAATAAAAACATTTATACATTTTTTCTGAATACATGCACATTCCAGTGAAAATGAAAGGTGCACTCAGGGCTTAATTCGTGATGTTAGTAAGGTAAGGCTTAACAACTTGCACATATAAAACATGTTCCCCACTAGAGAGTATAACACAGTTTTTAAAAATGCTGTAAATAAAACAATTAGTGCATGTCCAGCCAATTTTAAGCTGAAACTCTGACCACAACCTGCTCTTGACCAGGTTATGAGTTCAGCATAAGTTGCCATAAAAAAAAGCCACTTTGGTGATACAGAAAGCTCTGACTTTGAGCTCGACAGAGCTCACTAATCCATTAATCTTACTTCCCAGTACACCCCTCGTGAATTTGACTGAAGCACTGACCTGGTTGTTGATGGCCTGGGTGGTTGGAGGTGGAGTCAGTGGTTTATTGACCCTTCCTCTGGGGTTAAAAGCCATGGCTTGAGGGGGCTCACTCTGGGGCCAAAAACTCTCTGAAAACACGCCCTGCTCATCATAGAAATCCTGAAACACAAAAACAAACATAGATTTAAAAAAACAAAACTAAACTAAAACAAACAAAAGAACAAGCTAAAAAAAAGACTATTTAACATGAGAAATTTTGCTTGTTTTGCCATCAGTTCAAGGGTCGGATGGTTCACATCTCCGCAGCTCTGCAGACAGCACATATCATCAAAGGAATGTAAAAGCAAACCTAAAATTAGACTTCTGGTCATCTATACGGGCATATAGCTCAACTAAAAGACATTCCTTTATGCCATTGGTTTGAAGGAAACAAGATTATCTTTTTCATGTAACACACATTATGCAACTAAAAAAGACTTTCTGTGTAGGCAAACTACATCCCTCATTACCTAAATATACAGCCAGTTTTCTTTATATTGTTTATAAGTCTACCATGTTACAGCTGCAGGCGAGCAGATGCTGACACGATATCGTACATTACAGTCCAACCAGTCATAGAATGACTGTCAGCAGCAGTTTCACTGAAAGTAGTTAGACCTGGCTGGGAAGATGATCCACCTCAATGTAAAGAAGCACGAAATGCCAACATGAGTCATACCAGTAGTAACTTTCTGTTTGTCTGAGAGGCTGATCGAGTTTCACATGCTACTTAGGTGGTCTGGTATCTTCTTATCTGTGTTGATACATGTTGTGTGATGATGCAATAGTGTCATGCATTACAGTTTCCAGTAACTAGTGCCAAATGTTTAAACCAGTAATGTCAATGCTGGGATTTCAATAATTTGCACTTGCAGCCCATAATTTCATTGTACATGTGAGTACTATTCTAGTCTGTTTGTCCCGGCCATGATTTTCTTAAAGTGGAAAATACCCAAACTGTTGTTACTAAATCTGAGTAATAATAATAGAAATAACATAGTGGAATATATGTTTTGATTTTACGAGAGTCAGACATGTGTATGGATTTGGGGTAGACTGAACAGAAGAGCATCCAGAGCTGTTAACAACCTGGGTGCATCCTGTAACGGTACCATAGCACACACAGTGAGGGTAACACGGTAGACAGAGAAGTCAAACATTAACACTACTTCTAGTAAAAGGAAGTGAAGAACTGCACTAGCACTAGTACTGCTAACCTACTTAAAACAGACAGTCTTACACATACTGGAAGTTCTTCAAGAAACTCCACTGCACAGGCTTTATTTACGTCCTTGCAGAGAACAGGCCCATCTGCAGATTTTTATCACTGAATTTGAGATATCGGACCAAGATGACCTTTGAATATATTGGATATATAGTTGATTTTTCTTAAAAATGTGGGATCAGACATCATTTACAACTGATGACTAGCAATAACACCTCCAGGTGGCGTGTGGCCGACTGAAGCATTTTTGCACGCATTCTAGGGCTGTGGCCAAATATTCTACTATTCAGATATTTGTTCATTGGGTATGCATGTATATCTCAGCTTGCTAACCACATCTATCACACTCACTGCAGTTATCGTCATGCTTTGGTTCCCGCTATTGTTGCAGAAATTTAAGCACTTTCCATACTCATATTTTTATCCTCCTGCTTTGCAACAACATCTTGCTCGAATGGAACAGGAACAGCTCTCTCGCTCTGCTCTGTTCACTGGGTGAGCAAGCAGGGAGCGTTCAGAGTGGCAGGGAGCAGCGGTGCACTGTGCAAGAGGAAAAAAGTAGGAGAGCTTCTCCAGATTCAAACTTTCTCTCTGAACGCTCATCTTACATGTAAACATGGCTACAATCACAGCAGAGCAATTGCCTTTTAACCGTCATAGACATGAGGAGGACAAATAAGAAAAATAATGTCTGCAGGGATGAAAGCAAGAGCCCGTTTCACACATTGCTCAAAGACAAGATTATATTATTCAAGCAATGTTGGGTTAAGTGACGATCACATGCTGTGACTTTGACTAAACTGAGTAGATGATTTTATCTCCAAACGTGACAATCTGCAGCAAAACTGACAAGCAGGGCTGAATCTTTCTGACTGTGTGGCAGATGTTCCTTGTGTAGACTGCAGGGTACAGCAGGCTGCGGCATAAATCTGCTCCACCACGTTTTCCCGTCTACTTATTTCAGGACTTCTGGCACAAATGCTGAGTTTGAATGTACTACAATAAGGCCTTTCTAAGCCAAAACGGAAGATAATGTACCTAAATATTTCTCTAAAAAAATCAAAGACCATCACTTCACAACTGCAATATGTGTAATACTCTGAATGCCATGCTTCTCCTTGCATAGTAGATAAATTATTGAAACATTCAGCGCAGGTGAGCTGGGTTGTTTTTTTTTCTTCATTTTAGTTTTTTTTATTCACTTCTGAGTTAACATACCTGTCCAAAGCTTGCCATGGATTCCTGGGAGCCCTCCTGCTCTTGATCTCGTCTCCCATCCTCCAAGGCATAGACAGTCCTATCTGCATCCTGTACACTTTCATCCTTCACCACTACTCCCTCTCCTCCCAGCACCTAGGGAGAAAAAAAGACAGGTCCATTTCAATTTCAAGTAGTAAAGAAATACCTTTAGATCAGTATTGGAGCTAAAAAGCAACAAAAAGTCTATAAGAGCAACCAATGCCCCAGCTACAGCCCCTTCAAGCAGGTTCTGATAAGTTGAATAACCTACAGTCAATATGCAGAAGTCCATAGATTATCAACAAGGCAATTACTGCTGAAGTTTAGGCGAGAGATCCAACTGTGAAAAGTGCAGAAACATCTCAGCGATATACGCCAATGCAGTGTGAGAAGAGGGAAAAGCATAAAAAGAAAGAAAACGAAAACGTTGCAGCTCTGCATGCCTGAAAACTGTAACCATAGCAACCATTCCCCTTATCCCCCTACCTGGAGTCTTAGCGGCTGCCTCTGCTTGCGGCTGTGGCTCGCCCCCCTGTCTCTATCTCCATCTCTTCCCCTGTCTCTCCCATCCAAGTCCTCCTCTTCGCTGTATCGGTCTATCCCCACAAGGTCATCAGAGAGGTCAGTTGTGTTGCCGCGGAGGCTGTCCCTGCCAATGCTGTCCACACTGGCCACACCGGAGCTGCAGCCCGCTGAGAGGTTCCCTGTGCTACTTGTGCTGGCTCCATTGGCTGTCTGTGCCAACAGGTCTCGGAGCTTGTACCTTACGTCCTGAGTACAGCTTGAGCTCTGCTTCATGAGGACTGCACCTCCCCCGGTGCCCATCGCGTCACCACCACACATGGCACCGGGGCCCATGTCTCCAAGTGCCATCAGGCTTACAGTGTTAGCTTGATCCATTGGGCCTGGGCCGCTATCACTGACGCTAACGTTGGCACCCCCTAACCCACCGGCCATGTTACCACCTCCACATTCAGCCATGAAATTAGAGAAGTTGGCGTAACCCCCACCCCCACTAACAGAACAGCTTCCACTGCTGCCACTCTCTCTCCCTTTCCCCCCGCCACGCTCCTCTTGTTTAGGGAGGACCCCTCCAAGCATTCCTCCTCCAGCAGCAGCAGCTGCGGCGGCCGCTGCTGCTGCACTTGCTGCCCCTGCCGCTGCCTTCCTCTGAGAGATGATCTGAGTGCACTCATCAATGACCGTCTTAATTTGCAGGATGCTGGCAGCAGTGAGGATGCACAGGGCCTGTGACTGCAGCACTACCAGCGAGCCACTGTACATGAAGTCTACAAGCTGCTTCACGGTTTCAGCGGGCACCAGCGGCGGAACAGAGATTTCAGAATGACCGAGCAGCAACTTGTCCTGGAAGAAGGGGCTACCAGCTGCCAGAACGCAGGCGTGAGCACGCAGGGAGGCATCATGTATTCGCACGGTCACATCGCAGAAGAGGCCCTCACGCCGTTGTGTGCGAAGGGCTTCCAGCACTGATTGGCTGGAGTTGTGGAGGTGGATGTAGTGCACGGTCTCTGTGCCGGACACCATGGCAGGAGGAGGCGAGTCACTGGGAACCGGATGGGAGTGGGGGTGGGGGAGGGGGGGTAGGTGTCTGGGGTTTTGCGTCAGCTTGAGGGATAAGGAGGACAGGGAGGGAAATGGATACAGTGCATGGGCCACGGTGGGGCCGTGTCCTCTCAAACAGTCATGAGTCTGATGAATGTTTACAAACTGCTTCTCTGATATGCCTAAAGGTATGAGGAGCTGCCTTCGATGTCCTGAGTGTGGGCAATGTCAAGTGGCTGTTTCCACCAGAACGTTAACCTCTGTTAAAACCTGCTGAAATAAACCATAACAAAAACAATTATACACTAAGCACTTATAAAGTTTTCAGTAGTGCAAAAACACTACTGTGTTTATATATACATATATACATAATATATGTATGTCAAAAATGTTAATTTATTCAATTGCAACTCAAATATAAAAAATACAGAACTTGTCTTTACATTAGATTAATCAAAATTAACATTCTTTGTTTGGGGGTTGAACAAAGAGGAACCTGAATTGTTTTCCTAAAAGTCGTTGAATGGAATGCCCCTTTTTCTTATTTTCTAAAACCTTTGCAGATAGTAATAAGAATTTCATGATTTAAAATAAATCATTCACAAATTATACTAATAATCCTCAACTCTACCCCTTAATTATATTGTTCTCAGTGACTCGTTTCGTGTTGGAACTAGTTAATCCAGCCGTAACGAAAGGTGGCTGAGTAACAATTGAGCAGCTAATAATCCATCATCAAATTAGTCGCGTGCATCATCTGGCACACCTGTTTTGGTCAACCGACAGCACGTGCCGTGCGCGAGTCCAATGGTTCCCCGGGTCAGTATATGTGGTTATCTTGCACAGTAGGTGGCCGGTAATGCAACATCAGAGTTAATTACACCGTTGATTGAGCTAAACAGGCGCAGGAATAGCGAGGCAAAATGGGTGGATAATTAATAGCACTTGTTACCTAAATGTGTAACTAATAGCTCGATTAAATTGATGACTGACCAGCTAACGTTCCCTCCAGCTACAAGCGAGCAGGTTAAGAGCGGCGAGCTAACGTTAACTACCGTTAGCTGTTGATATTAGCCGCTCGAGTCTCACACGGAAATCTGCACAATTTTATACATGCAAAAAAAGCTTCGACGCCCAATAAAACACAAAAGTGGAGCACTGAATATAACAGCAACTGGCAACGTTTCTAGCATAACATATAAGCAGCAATCAAATCTCGCCCCCACGCGCAAATAGAATGCTAACCTGGCTAGTTTACTAGCTTGCGTTAGCTAGCGAAAAATTAGTAAAGTTAGCATGTCAGCAGCTAACGGGCTACCACCCTTTTCTGCACAAAGCTTCTTAAGGCTATACCTACGTGTTTTACTGTGACACTGTCATTGCATGCTATTTAATCACGACTACTTACAATGAAAAATACAGTGACAGTTCGGTTCTTGGTAGTTTCAGGCAGATGGATGCAGCAGGAAGCCCTCAAATAACGTACCCAACCTGATGAGAGCTGGTAACAAACACACATGCACGCAGTTGCACACACACGCATATACACACATACAGAAAGGGATATGGAGTTTCTCTTGTATAACGCAAGCTACACGAGCGGCAACTGCTAATGTACATGCACCACTTCTATGGTATTAATTATAGGCTTGTGCATCTAAAAACGTAGGACAAATACCTGCAGACAAAGTCTAGATACAAGAGGATCTTCAACATACCTGTACACGCCTAAATAGCTTCGAGGAAATGCAAACACTCAATTGTTTAAACTCTTTAATTCTTCCCAAGCTTGTCATATGGCAAAAGAGGAAACTAATGCAAAATTTTAAATGAATTATATTCGGCAAGCACAACAATAGCAACAATATAATACAGACAAATATACAAATCACAGGAGCATAGATTTTCAAGTTAACTTTTATAGTAAGTTGTTTAAATATTGCGATTTCTTACGGTTTCTATGAGCATGTATCTGAGGGCATTTGTACAACAAGAATTCCACTTACCTGACTTAATCCCAGTAAGAAAGGCAACATGCTTGTTGAAGTTGGTGGGGCAAGATTCTTAGATCAGCCTTAATGCAGTGCTGCATGCTCAAGAATGTTCGTCATGCAGTAAATGCTTGCATGAAATGGGAGAAAAAAAGGTCAGTATCTGAACTTTTCTCTGGGTTTAAAAGCCATGTGGGTACCAGGTTCCAGTTGAAAAGTCCTAACCCTTCCCAATCACATTACATTGGCCTTGATGACAATGAGGTCAAGGAAAGGTGTAAAGGAGAGTTTATATAAAACAGAACAGCCAGTGGGACAATAGTTCAGCCCCCACCACCACCTAATCATGAGTGGCAAACTTGAATACAAAATGATGATATAATGTAATAAATATGCGCTATATATTAGACATATAATCCAAAAATTGTGGTGTGAAAAAAACCCATTCACAAATACTCATAGGTTGTGAGACACCTTAAAAATGCTATAGATGACAGATAAAAGGTCAGCGATAGATTGTCTCCATGTAGCGCATTGTTTTGAACTTGTCTGTACCCTTCCTGATTTTTGCCCATGATATCTATAAACCATCACAAGTTATCTGATGTAAAGGAACTCTTTGTGCCTTTTTAAAATAAACAAACCATGATTCTGAAAAGCAAACTATAGAATTTCATGAGAAAGTGGTGGTATTATTAAATATCTAGAATAGAATAGAATAGAATTCAACTTCATTGTCATTGCACATGTCACAGGTACAAGGCAACGAAATGCAGTTTGCATCCATCCAGAAGTGCTTTAGCCATGATATAGATATATTACAAATATATATTAGCAATAATATAGATATGTGAGTATATTACAGAAATGGGTCTATTATGGTATGTTATAATGTACACGGTATGAAGTATGTTATAAATATGCTATTACTATAAGTATGTACAGGCTGTAGTGAGTACAAGCTATGTACAGGCTATGAACAGGATATAAATATGAAAAACTATACAGAATATGAAATAAATAACTTTACAGAAATCTGAGATATACAGTTATACAGAAATGTGAACTATGCAGATAATAAACAGTTGTAGTTTTAAAATTTATCGTATTGTACAGAATGATTATTTACACAGAATTATACAGTAGTGCAGTTAAGATGTGGATAATTTCTACAGAGGCTATATAAAGTGCTAGTGGTTTTGAGTGGTGGTTCAGTCCATGTTATTATTGTGTGTTTGAGGGTACAGTTGTCCATTGTGTGTGTAGGTGGTTGTGGGTGTGTGTATGTCCAGTCCATGTGTTAACGTGGGTCAGATGTCAGGAGGCAGAGTTCAGGAGTCTGACAGCTGTGGGGAAGAAGCTGTTCCGGTACCTGGTGGTCTTAGTCCGGAGGCTCCTGTAGCGCCTCCCAGAGGGCATGAGGGTGAAGAGTCCATGTGATGGGTGACTGGGGTCTTTGATGATTTTCCCAGCCCTTTTCAGACACCGCTTCCTGTAGATGTCCTTTATGGCAGGAAGTGGTGCTCCGGCGATGCGCTGGGCAGTTTTCACAACCCTCTGCAACGCCTTCCGGTCCGAGGCAGAGCAGTTCCTGTACCAGACTGTTATACAGTTGGTCAGGATGCTCTCGATGGTGCAACAATAGAAGTTCACCAGGATGTCTGAGGACAGGTGGTTCTTCCTCAGAGTCCTCAAGAAGAAGAGGCGCTGGTGAGCCTTCTTGACCAGCTTGGAGCAGTTGGTTGTCCAGGTGAGATCCTCGGAGATGTGGACTCCCAGGAACTTGAAGCTGCTCACACGCTCCACAGCCGTCCCGTTAATGTAGATGGGTGGATGTGGGTCAGCATTTCTCCTGTAGTCCACGATGAGCTCCTTGGTCTTCTCGGTGTTAAGCAGCAGGTTGTTTGTGTCGCACCACTCAGCCAGACGATCCACCTACTCCCCGTAGGCGGCCTCATCGTTGTCACTGATGAGGCCAATCACCGTGGTGTCATCTGCAAACTTAATGATGGTGTTAGAACCACCGGCAGGTCTGCAGGCATGGGTGAAGAGGGAGTAGAGGAAAGGGCTCATCACACAGCCTTGTGGTACACCAGTGTTCATTGTGATTGTACATGAGCAGTGGTTATCCAGCCGGACATGTTGGGGGCGGTTGGTCAGGAAGTCCAATAACCATTTGCACATGAGGGAACTGATGCCCAGGTCTGTCAGTTTCCTGATGAGTTGTGAGGGGTGGATTGTATTGAATGCTGAACTGAAGTCTATAAACAGCATTCTGGCGTAGGTGTTGTTGTTGTCCAATTGTGAGAGGACAGAGTGCAGTGCGATGGAGACTGCATCCTCTGTGCTCCTGTTCTGGTGGTATGCGAATTGGTGGGGGTCCAGGGTGGGGGGGGGGAGACAGGATTTGAAGTGTCTAGTCAACTATCTAGTCAAGATAGTTGATAATTACCAAGCTATGGCACAGGCACAGCCCTTCCTTTGTATCAGATGAATGGTGAACTTAATGCACTTTTTATGTGTCAGCTTGTTACCAACTTCACCATCTGCATTTCCAGTTCTGCCCCGCTTGACAGCTAAAGAATGAGACACAGGTTTTACTCCACAACAAAATATAATTTAATGAATTAGCTTTTTACTGTGTCAATCACAAATCTATAATGATGTTAAAAAAAATAGAGCAAAAGAAAGAAAATGATCCGGTACCCTCCTTTGTGTTGATGTAAGGCATGCAGTCTCCATAGAGCTTTGGACATTGAAGCTACAGGTCATACAGTGAGACACACTGACACTCAGCTACAAATACACACAAAAGCGCTCATTATGTCCACTCTTCTTGGGGCCCAATAAACATTTATTGTTTGCACATACAATGAGTAGAAGTGGTATAAATCACAACACCAAAAGTTTAATAGTTTACGAATAGCAATAGGATGGGCTAACACTTCTCTGGGGATTTTTCTACCTTGTCCACTCTTGAGGAATAATGGTATGGTGATGCAGGAATATTTGAATATGTGAATTACACTGACAGTTACACAGAAAGGGGTTAGTAGACAAACACGTTGTGTGAGCATGTAGCACACAAAATGAGGGAGATTTTAACAGCCGTGACTCTTGCATTCAAACCTTTGCAACGAGCCCTTTTGAAACTGGTTTTTCTCAACCAAAGGAGCCTGTAAAAACAATCGGCTTCATTCAGCTTCAAGAAGGTCCTTCATATGGGAAGTTACATTGACGTGTTGCTGCTGTAACTTTCATATAAAAAGTGCAGACATTTACTTGTGTCTATGGTGCAAAAATCTTGATGACCTCTGGGATTCAAATTGGCCCGAGCTATATAAATACAATTATATATCTGGCTTCATATAAAAATAAAACTAGTAGTACACAAATATTGCACACCTAAGGGAGTTTAGATTTGTCAGGTTATTGACAAGCTATTGAGGAAAATGTACAAACACGGAAATAATAAACCATCTGGTGCAGTATAAATAAATATTTAGATACTGAGTTTTAATTCTCTGCATGCAGTATATCTCTCTGGCTGTAGGTGGACCAAGTTGGGCACAGGTGGAGTCACGGCTGCCAAGGGGAAATGGATGTAGGCTGTGCGGTGCGTGAAGGTCATGGTGGAGCAGCAGGTAGTTCTTGTGGACAATTGGGACAGAGCTGCTCAGTGTTGCTGGGCATCCAGCTCCCTCTGGCGGCAGCCCACAGCAGTGATGAGGGCAGCTCCCTTACCGCTGCCGTCCTCAGACAGCAGGAAGTTGACATCACATTTGGGGGCGAGTTCCTTCACAGTTTGTTGGAAGATCCGAGAAAAACTGAAGAAAAGAGAGCAAGAGGAAACTGTGGTTATGAGGCAGCTTGCTACTGAACTTGAAATGACAGTTGCTTTCCAGCATAGGTGACAGACATACATATTATTCAAACTTTACAACTAGAAGCAGCACAGAGTTGTGTGAGGAGGTTCATTCGGGCCTATCGAGAGGGTGTGGACTTGGAGGTAAAAGAGGTCCTCTGGATTTTTATTGGTGCAGTTATCTCCTAATTTGTAACCCCAGTTACAAGAGTCCATCAGTAGTCCCCTCGACAAACAACCAAATGAAGATGTTAGCCTTGAGGTACTTTTTCATAAAATTATCTTTTATATAAAAAACTGGTATAGTTGTAATTTGTCCTCACAAAGAATCACAAGTGGTAGCAGATCAAAGTGTTTTAAGGCTAAGAGATGTAGACAGATTGTACATTTAGTTGATTTATAACATACTAATACTTGGCTATTTATGGGTTGTAATATGTTTATTACAGTTTCTGCTGTTTTTATTCTGGACATCTGCAAACGTACAATTTGCTTTATCTTTTCAATGTCTAACATGCATTATTTAATGTCAAAAAAAGACCAGTATATTTGTTGACTATAGGTCCTTCAGCACTTTTTGAATGTTTTTCCATCCTAGTGACTGAATAAATAATTCAGTGCTACTGTAAGGCCAGTGAGTTTGGTAATCTTGGGTAATTCTTTGCAG